AATTGAGCTGTTACACCTGATATATATATATATATATATATATATATTAAGAAATGGACAAGGTCCGACAATTTATTTATTAAAGACATTTTTATGTTTAACGTTGTTATTTATCTGATCCTAAATATTGACGTATTATCCACCTATATCTTTTTGATAAAATGCTAAATACTTTTTGGCTCTAATCAACTCTGAATTGATTAAGCATTTTACTTCGCAAGGTCTTCTTTCAGATAAGCAATATAACTTTCGCTTCTTTAGGTCAACTGCTGATGAATTAACGATTCTTGCTAAAAGAGTCTATCAAGCTATAGGCAAGAATGCTGAAGCTCGAGCCGTTTCTTTGAATATATCGAAAACATTTAACAGGATTTGGCCTACTTTCCTTCACAAGTTAAAAGCTTATATTTCTGGAAGAATTTTCAAACTGATTCAAACTTTCTCATCAAATCGCGAACTGATCCAAACTTTCTTTAACGGTCACTTTTCTAGATCTTTCTGCAATAATTCAGACGTTTCCTTGGACACACGTTGTACCTAATTTACATCAACGACCTTCCAGACGACATCAGTTCTTAACTTGGTATCTATGTCGATGATAACTATTTATTGTCTTAATAGCAAGTTTGTTATGATAAAGTCAAATTATAAGTTGATCTAAACAAAATAATCTACATTCTAGTGTTAACTGTGGCAGGGAATGGCTTCTTAATTTTAAAACCTTCAAACCGAAACTGCTGTGTAATAATCATCTGATTGAATGTCTTCTGCATTTCATCCGTATAACTAATGCTAATCTCCAGGTGAGGGTCATATTACGCCTTCTCAAATAATTTTTTCTTTTGACATGAAGTGGAAATATTATATTGAATCAATTGTTGGTTTCCCTGTGTCGCAGTAGATAATATTTCTTGCCGGAAGTTCTCTTACATATTTATAAGTCTATCATTCATTCATGCTAAGAATATTGCTGCCGCATATGGTCTGGTAATCTTACTTTATATGTAGAGATTCTTGATTAAATCCAAAGAAGAATTCGCAATATGATTGGTCCTGACCTGGCATATCGGTTTCAGTAACTTTTCCACCGTCCTCATATAGATTCCCATATATTTTTTCACACTCAGTAACCTTCTTCGTGTTAGTGGCTTTATTGCCGTGTTTGGGATGCACTGATTAAAATTAATATGGGATAAGTAAGGATTTCTTAGGGGAATTATGGCATCCGTTGTATGAACTGGGGTGTTTTGATTATAGCTTATTGATTGTGTCGAGTTGGTCACTGGACAGTGAAGACCAGTATAACCCTCCTTATTTAGCCTGCATTCCAAATTTTTATATTTTGTGTGATAAATATTTATGACATGTTACGTTCAGTTTTCATATATACTCCGACTTTGAATATTTTCTGCCAGTAGGTCTGGACCGGTTCTCTAAAATTTCCTGTCCTTTATAGCTCTTAATAAATTTTGTCTTTTTTCTTGTTTCTCCTAAACTAACTTTTCCGCCATCTATTAGTATTCTAAGTAGGCTATGCATTGTTTTTTCTCCGCGCCTCTTGCCTTCAATCATTCCTCTGAGCATAAAACATTCCAATACCCTTTCCTCATTACAGGCCCTAGAAACTTTTCGACTCTTTCTGTACAGTGTAAGTTTCCTTTTTGCTTCCATTTTCTTCGTTTTTTCGACCCATTCTGCCGCCTTGATTCTCCTCTTCATCTGTGAGGAGATAGTCCAGCATACACGAAGGTAATATTCTTAGGGAAACAATGCTCAAACGAAATCGTGTATATCCGTATTTTTTGGCATGGAATGATAATAGATAAATCAGGCAATTTTTTTTGCATTTTTGCATCGTTATTATTATCTAGGGTTTCAGCTCACTGGAAGCTATCTGTTGGTGAAAGGTGTCTTATTGCACTTTTCAGTCGTGTGGTGAGCATGAGATAATCGTGGAAGTGAATGTCTTTAATCCACAGTTAACGTTCCCAAATAGAAATTCAACGCATAGACACACACTACATGACAGCTACAAAAATTGCACATTAGAATTCACACGCACAAAAGTTGCCTGACTAAAGGGAGATCTATCTAACCAATGAAAACAGAGTCTTCAATATACCGAAATGTTCACTTCTATAACGCATTTCCCGAAAATTTCCGAAGGAGTCAAGCGAAACGTTCGATTTATGAACGTTTTCTTATTTGTTCCTTATGTTTCTTATTAGTTATTATCTAGCTGTTTGTGGGCCCGTGTCAGAGAAAATAAAATTATTTTTTAGGATTCATTAATTTGACAATAGATGCAAACACCTAAACATTTTTATTACGAAGAAGATATTTTACGTTCGGTTATAATATAACATTTTATATCAGCAAAGTTTTTTTTTTATCTATGTTAATGATGTAGATTTATCTGCTGGGGGTAGCAGATAAATCGAAGTAGCCGCACACCGCTAAAATAAAGGATTAAATATATAAAACACCCAACGCACATTAGGTTAAAACACCCGTTCTCATCCGATCACTGATGTTAAGCAATGTCGAGACTGGCCATTACTTAAATGAGTGACAGCTTGCAAATACCAGGTGATGTAAGCTCAAATGCCTGGCAGGTGTGATGGATAACTTCTCAGAATGAGAAATCTGAGAGGCGTGTTCGAATTCTAGTCCAATTTGTCACATTTATTTGCGCGCAAATAACCTTGTGAAAAGTATCATTCCATCTCTTCACCGACACAGCTACGAGTTTCGTTTAGCCAACTTAATATTATTTCTCTTTAGAATCGCTGAAAAAACTTTGAGTTATTCAGCTAGACAGGGAATTGTTTTGTGTCAGCCCAACTGTCTTCCCAATTGAGAAATGGTGAAAGGAAAAAAGATCATTCAGTCCTTCAGTAACGGTATCAACATTCATATTCTGGCTTCCATCTTCAAATTCCATTTCAGCACCATCAAGAGAACGGTGAATGAGTTTTAAAAAGAGGGGACACTAGAAAGAAAAAAACTGGGTCGGGGGGTCACAACAGGAAGAGTGATCATCATTTCAATTTAGAGATAAAGAGATCAATTAGAAAAGATCCAACTCAATCCATAAGACGTTTGGTATGTGAGAGAAGAGTTTCAGATATGACAGTCCAAAGAGCAGTGAAAAATATAACCAGAAAATGAAATCGTACATAAAACTTTTGAGGCGTCTTGTTACTACAGGACAGAAAGTTAAAAGGTTAGAGACGACGAAGATCATCATTAACAAATAGGAAAATGATCCTGGAATAATATATATATATATATATATATATATATATATATATATATATATAGATAATATTAGTGGAAAATATACATACATATGAAAAAATATATCTAAAAAATTCCCATACATGTATATTTTCAGAAAAAATTTTCCAAGAGGAAGGATCCAGGTAGAACTCAATGTCTAGGACAGAGTAAGGATATAATAAAAAGGCTTAAACACTAATATTCCATGGTCATAATTTATTCCATTGGAATCGTAAATACGATCCAAATCATCAGACCTACAAATTCAAAATGAAAACAAAAAAAACAACTCCGGAAATCAAAACAGAATTTAGAGAAAGTGTAAGTATGAGGATGAGTGACAGAGAATTTTTGGAGATGTGGGTGGGGTGGATTTAAAAAGGAGAGAAAGAAAGTCGACGGATGTCTAATACATAAAGATACATTTCGTGGTGACATATACACACCACAGACAATTCGGATAGGAAGGAAAAAAAAAAAAAAAAAAAAGGGAAAGGTTGGGGAGAGGGATGGGACGAAGGAAAATAAAAATGTGTTTACATAAAGGGCCGCTTCGTAATTGGGAAAATTAAATCAAATATAAATATATGAAGATGAATATAACGATTGTCTCATTTCGCAAGGACCAAATATTTCTATGTTCAAAAACACGGAGAATTCCAGTAAGGTATCTTTAATCATTACTACGATACAACGGTTCAAGACTTAATCTAACAATAGAACAATTTTGCTGTTACACGATTTGTATAATTTTGCTGCCATACCCGGTATATATATATATATATATATATATATATATATATATATATATATATATATATATATAGATAGATAGATAGATAGATAGATAGATAGATAGATAGATATGTGTGAGTCGGTTGGTGTGGAGTATTTTTAAGTATCACGTATTCAATCAAGTTATATTAAATTTGATCGACATAATCTTTCTGTTTGAATTTCTTTTTATTGTATTTTTTACAATTTTGAATCTTACTGTATTTTTTTTCCAATTTTAATGAGATCGGAATTGCAGATGAATTGTCTAAAATTCATGTTTGTTCCGTATTTGATCACGTTTTTTCGACCATCTCGGTCGTTACAAAGAATTATTTATTCAAATTTTCCTGTTAAGTGTTAAAGAAATTGTAAAATTATTTTTCCTTTTCTTATTTTCATTTTTTGAAGTACGATTCAAATAAGTCGTAGAGTCGAATAGCGCAAAAGTTTGTTTTTTTTTTCCTTTATTTTCACTGGACCTAAAATTTTGACCAGTAATGTATATCTTGATAGTTTATCCATGATTTCGATCAGAATATACAGTGTGCGATGGATAAATTATCGTCTAAATTACGCAAATATGAAAATAACACGGACATCTCATTTTAACAGATATATTTGCCAAAATTACACAAAAATATTTGGAAATATGAAAGAGTAAATTTATTCAATAAAACCACCATTGGCTTCAACCACAACCCCCAGACGACTTCCCAATCTCTTCTGTACGTTTCCCTTGTTTAAGTTGGTGAATGCTGCCATAATCCTTGCCTTCAGTTTTGTTCGTCTCTCGCTCAATTGCCCACACTTAATAATCAAGGGGAGTTAGCTGGACAGATGTAAGGGGTGAGGTGTTTGCAGAAATTGTCTGACAGCCATGACCGGATTCTCCTGACTGTGTGGCATGGTGCAAAATTATGTTGCCAGATATAGAATCTTCCAGAAAGCCCCCTTCTTTACCCAGGGCGTCACTATCTCCCCAAGGCATCCGTGTTGATTCTGTGACCCTGTGGGAAGATGAATGGTGGCATAGAGTTGCCATCACTAGTGATCACTTCAAATACCTTCGTAACCATCATTAGTTTCATCCAACTCTTTCCGAATCCCCCGCATTCTCCACAGATTGACACCCAAACACTCTGAAATGATTGTATTGGAGTTTCCGGCGCGAATGCCGACAATACAGCACTTAGCCTCACAATTTCTGGCGGAGTGAATTGCATCATGGTTGCTCTTTTTCTCTCAGAATGTGCCCAACTGACCCTACTATACTTTCCAGTCGACAAACTCAAAAACAAACCAACACATGATACGAAAACTGAAAAATACAATAAAACTTTTGTCCGTCGAGCTTAATCAAACTTTATGGTGTATGTATATGTATATGTATATATATATATATATATATATATATATATATATATATATATATATGATATCAATTAAATTTATAAAGTTGTAAAATAAATGCCTGAATAACATTCACATGACACTATCCGATACCATTTTACATACATACATTCATATATATATATATATTACATCCTTCCATCCATCCATATATATATATATATATATATATATATATATATATATATATATATATATATATATATATATATATATATATATATATATTCATACAAATGTTTGATTAAAAAGAACTGAGCAGGTCTGCCAGTTAATTTTTTTTAATTAGATTTTTCTAATTTTAGATAATATGTTGAGATTACGTCGAAGTTATTTATTTTATTTTCTCAATTATTTTAAAATTTTTAATAATAATATAATATGTGCGCATATTATATTATATGCACTTCAAGATACAATATATATATATATATATATATATATATATATATATATATATATATATATATATATATATATATATATATATATATATAATATAAAAGATACAATATATATATATATATATATATATATATATATATATATATATATGCATAATATGGTCTGGATATTTTGTCTCATAATAGCTGCTAGAGTTTTGAGACTTTCCTTAGTTCTGATGATATATATTCTTTTCGTGTTGCCAATTACTATTTGTCGGCTGTTCTTTTATCTTCAACGACCTTCCGGGTGTCATCACTTCCCAACTAGGTATTTATGCAGATGACAACAATTTGCTCCTGTCATAGTAGCATGGCCGACACGTCTAACAAAGTGAAACTGGCAACTCTTCTCGAAAACGACCACCAATCAGTGGTTAACTTGCGCAGGGAATGCCACTTGTAAATTGTAAAGCCTCAAAAAACAAAACTGCTTTCTTTGAATCACCTTTTCTGTCTGCCATCGGCATGGCTGATGCTAACCTCCAGAAGAGCAACAATTCTCGGGCTCACGTTTTCTACTGACATGAAATGGGGTGATTATATTGAATCAGTTGCAAGGCCCAGTGTCATGAAAGTTGGTTCGCTGTGTCTTTTCAGACAAATTTTCTCCTCAGAATCCATTTTGCACATAGAGAAATCTACCGTCCGATTGTATGTTCAATATAACTGTCATACCGTTTCTGGTGCTCTTATAAACCTCGAGATTCTTGATAAAATTGAAAGAAGCGTCTGTGATGTAATCGATCCTATCCTGGCAACCCGACTTCAGTGACTTTCTCACCGACTTGGCGTGTCTACCCTCTGTCTTTTCTATAAATATTTTCATGACAATTATTCTAAAGAGCTTTTCTCATTAGTGACTCGAGTATATGAACTTACGCGTGCTACTAAGATTCGCATCTAGGTTTCACCGTTTTAATGTCGGCTGCCATATATGTGCTGGAGCACCTTATGCTTACCTCGGAGTTCTTGACAAGATCCAGAGAAGGATATGTAATCTAATTGGCCCTGATCTAGCGTCTTGTTTGCAGTCACTCTCTCACAGACGCGCCGACGCCTCTCTCTGTCTTTTCTACAAATACTTCCATGGTAACTGCTCTGACGAGCTGCTTTCTCTGGTTCCCAGACTCCATGAATTCAAGCGCCCTACGAGGCTGGCATCCCGCTCTCACCTTTACACCGTAGAAACCTTCAGATGTAGCCGTCTCTTCTACTCCAATAGCTTCATACCTCGCACCTCTCGCCAGTGGAACACCCTGCCCAATTACTGTTTCCCTGAAAGCTATAATCTCCAACTATTCAAATGTAATGTCAATCAACATCTCCAATTACCTTGATCTACCCACTATCCTTCTCCTCTTCCTTTCTCCTATCACTCTTATCTGCTCTCGCTCCAAATCTTCCGCAACCCCCTGCATCCTAGTGGCTCCACGCCTTGCTTGGGGCACAATGCTTAAAAAAAAAAATAGCTACCTGAAACGGTAAGTTCTATACTAATTGTTATTTTCCCCCACCTGTGGAAATTTCCTTGCTTCCCTGTCACCTACAATCTTCAAAAAATTAGATGCAATGCGAATTGACGTTACCTGTCTTTCTAAATCCTCTTTTATTATTGTCCTTTTTCTTCACTTTAGTCCGTTCCTTCCCTGTCACACCATATGACACTTTGAATCCTAATGGCATC